GGGCCGCTCCCCGGCGGGGCTCCGGGCAGGTGGGGCTCCGGCTGCGCCCTTTCCTCCGCCCGTGTGTCGTGAGCCGGGAGTCCGCGGTGATGGGCACGGGACAGAAGCCTGGAAAGATCGGGGCGCTGCAAGAGGAGCTGCTGCCACCATACTTCAGCCGTGAACAGATCCGTGCACTTCAGCCCGGCTCAAATTCTGTAGCGCTCTTGGTGACCTAAGGCTGTCCCCTGGCCTGGGCACTGAGAAGACACCCCGGTGTCCCCTGGCTCGCTGTCAGTCTCCCTTGCACACAGCTCTCCTGCTTCATCCCTTTAATCCCCGGTTGCTGCGTTTGCACTGAAAACATGTTTTGTTCTTGACGTATCTGCTCCTCCTTTGCCCGAGCTGGGTCCTTGTTTGCCGTAGCACTGTGGTGTGGGGAACTCGCTGTTCTCTCATTTGGGTATTTGTGACAGGTAAGGCCTTGGTCTTGTGTCAGGCTACATTGTATAGGGTCTGTCGTTATGTTTTCAGTTGGACCGTATACACTTGCTCACAAGTGTTAAACTGGGCAGCCACAGTAAATACTGCATCCCAGATAGCTTTTATCCTTGTCCCAAGTCTCTCAGTTTTGCTGAGAAGCTCTTGTTTTCTAAGCAGAGTAGGTAGTTTCTCCCATGCTCCTCCTTAAGCAAAAATATCAGAAAATTAGTGGGCACATTCACCTGTTCATAAAGAAGAAAATGAAAGGAAAATTATTACAGTGGGAAAAAGCAGCTAACACTAATGATATGTTTGTCACAGTTCTGTTAATCTCATTTCACTTCCTAGTCCTTTAAATTTAAATAAGCCCCGATACTAAAAAAATGCAATTCCACCCTTGTCTACAACTACATTCCTACTAAGCTAGTCTTCTATAAATCATACTTGGGGAGAAAAGGGAAAGCTAAAGATAGAGATGACAAGGTAAAAGATGATTTAAATGCTAATAACTGTGCCACATTAATAACATACAGCAGAAGTTAAATTGAAAGCAGTTCACTCAGCAAACTGAGTATGACAGTTGTGTGTATACAGTTTGCTTCATACAAGGTTGACTTGATTCAAAATCCATGTCAGCCCGTGAAAAACATCCCCTTGGCTTCAGTGTGCTCTGGACCAGGATTTCAAAAATCAACAAGCAGGAGATTACAGTTTTATAAGTGAGAGGCCTTCTGTCTGACTGGGTACCAGTGGCACAGGAGGGCTGTTACCATGTGGATGATGCATGTAAGCACCTGTCTAACCAACTTTAACAGCGTTAGGAGCAAAGTATCTCAGAAAATGTGTTTTCTTTAATAGCTGAATCATAGGATTGGGGCTCCAGGAGTGTTGGGGGGTTATCCCCTATCTCCAATGGTGCGCTGGGGAGGCGCTTAATTGAAAAGGAAGAAACCTAGTGAGCAGGAGGACTCCTGCAGAAAACCCCAGCTCAGGAGAAGGAACTGGAAAGATGCTTTTTGTATCAGCCTAGTGGGAGACTTACCTACGTGGAAATCAGGAGGCTGAGGCAGGGACAAAGATACTCTAGGTCTAAAGAGATCCTCTTACAGACAAAAAAACCAAGGATTTTATCTTTTTGTATGTGATACATTATTTTTTATACTTGCAGGACGTTACTGTTGTACTCGTGTGGCTGAAAATAACACTGACTTGCTGAGCCAGTCACCTTTCTGCTCTCCAAAACTGTAATAATTTTAATGATAGGGCTGAATAGAAGCAACGTAGAAGAATGGGTGTGCCAAAAGACGGCTCTGAAAAGGCTGCCATACCTCCTCCTGTGAATGTATGCTGCAGATAAAAAAGATTTCCAAGAATGATAAAGGAAGTAAAATTTGTATGAAGTAATTTTACCCACTCTGGATACTACCGTAAAAGAGACAGGAGAACTATAGGTCAGAAGTAAGAGATGACAGTAAACAGTTAGGGAGAGAATGAACCTCACCTGACTGGGGAAGAAGAGGTGTTTAAGAAATGTTGTAAGACATAAACACTTTTGATGTGTCATATTCATACACTGCTCTCTCAACCAGGGAGAGTATTTGGAAGTAGAGTGTTCAAAGAAGAGCCTTTTAACAAAACAATACTGTTAGGTACCTGAGATTGAAAAGTGAGAAACAGAGAATCTTACATTTTTATTTTACTTTTTTATTTTGAGAGGCTTTTCTGGGTGTTGAAAGTTTTATTCAATAGCAAACATCACTGGAAAATTGCCAGATCCTTGGTATGTGCCCATCTTTAGATTCCTTGCTACTTTAAGGGAAATTTACAGTAAGGCTAGGGAATATCTGCAGAACATAGTTTATGACTGTCACCATTTCCCCATATGAGATGTTTTCTATGGCAAGTCTGTTTAGTTTATAGGAAGTAAAAAATGCTGGAGCAATGCTCCTAAGAACTAACGGGCTTGTGTCCTGCAGTCACTTCCAGAACCGCTACAGCCAGTGAAGAGCCTCCTGTTGACTCATGGACCCTAATCCAGGAACGCTTTAGGACAAGGCTGTATTACAGAGTTACTCCAATATAGTGAGCTAACCTCATCTGTTCACCTCATAAAATCTTCTTAGAAGTATCTGATTTCCCCCCCCCTAGTCCAGGTGCATGACCAGTTACATTACCAGAAGATTAGAGAAATAAATAATATCTAACCTTCCTGCATTGTTTCTTTCTCAACCCACTTCCCTTACATTTCATTTACAGTACTACATAGCTTTTATGAAATAAAATACAAATACTTTTGCTGAATGTTCCTTCTCCACACAAATATGTGTGTATTATTTATGTATTATTTATGTATTTATTTTTCTCTAGGTATACACATGCACAAGCCAATATACACAACAGAGCATTTCATCCTAAGAGCTTAACACATACCAGCAGCAGAGTCTCCCTTTCATTCTGCTAGTGAGAGCATTCCACTCTCAATATCTTATCATGAGATTCACGATAATTAGTGTTTTATTTAGAGCTCAGCTGTTGGAGAGCAGAGTTTGCATTAAAAATCCCAGCTTCTGTGAAAAATGTTGGAAGTACTTGCTTGGAAATACATAAATAAACTGCTCCCATGTGCTGGATCTCAACGCAACCTCAAACAACCCACCCTGCAAAGAATACCGCTGTTACCCTGCATGCTCAAAAATCCATCACCACCCACATCAGTTTTGCTTTTAAGACAGTTTCGGAGCCACTCACATATATTGCAGTGGCCTGATTTGTAGTGGATGTGTACATTTGCATTAGCATTATTATAAAGGGGGAAACTAGGTGTGCGTTAGTCACTAACTTTATCAGAAGGCAGAATCAGCCCTAGGCAGTGTTAAATACAGTTTGCAAATGTGGCTGGTAGCTCTCTGTTGTTCATGGGGTGGCTAAAGCCAGGCAGAGAGCAGTATTTTGAACTCAGAGCCTGTCTGCAGTAGTCCCTTAATTATCAGTCGGAACAGTAGGAGGTTTTTTTTTTTCTTTCTAGCTATCATATAGCCAGGCCCTGAATCATTATTTTCAATTGATGTCAGTAGCTGTTGGTTGGGCAGTTTTATTTGCCAACGTAACTGTTAGGTATGCAGACATAATGTTGTTCAGCAGCTTGTGGGTCCTTGGAAACTAAAACTGAGCAAGCAGAGTCCTGATGCCTCTTTCTCCTGAGGTCACTTGGGTGCTCTCGTCCTGCAGAGAAATTGCCATACATTGCGTCCGGTGTGGTGGTTGGGATCACACAGACAAGCCATAAAGGAAGCGCTAAACGTTTTGGATTCTAAATTATTTTGCAATAATGGCTTGAAAAACAAACTTTTTTTCTTGTATTTGAATGGGGCTTGGTTTTTTTCCTTAAAAAGTGTTGCCAGAAAAGGAGAACAAGTGTCATGAATAGCGTATCAAAAAGAATTAGTGAGTTTATCGTCTGCCCATGCCATTTGCAAACTTAGTAGGGGGTTAAACATTTTGATTAATGCTTTATGAAGCTCATTTTTGGGGTAAGTGTTATTGTCTGGACATTCGGGACAAGCAACAGGAGAGTTCACATGCCCAGCTGCTCCCTGGGGATTTGGGCCAAGTTGTGTAACCTTTCCATGGCACAGTTCCCCTGCCTTTGAAGTGTGCCTAGATGCCAACCTGTGTGTCACAGGGATGCAATGAAAATTCATGTGTCAGAAGCGCTCCAAGATGAAAGGTGCTATATGAGTGCAAAGTACGCCTCTTATTGCTTTTGTGAGAGGTCAGGAACTTGTTTAAATCGTGTAGGACTTTAGTACAATATAAACAAGAAAGCTAACAAGGTCTTATAATTGGTATAGACCATGACTGAATGTTATTGCCCACAACCACGTTATTAGTAGGGGATGCAGATGGAAATGCCCTATTTGTTTTAAATTCATGTGAACCGCACAGCATTTTAAATTAAATGTAGATGAAATTGTGTTGAAGAAGCAAACATCTACAGAGTATACCATCAACAGATTTTTCTTTTTTAATATACGTTTTCAATTTTCTGTGAAATATTTTGAAGGAATTAATTTCTCCTGCAGGATTCACATGCCAAATAGTCGGGGAAGTGGGTAGGCAAGATCAGTAATTTCCCTGTTTGGAGTGAAAAAATCCAATTGACACCTTATGTAAAGGATCAAAAACTGAACCACACACACACCTGAGGTAGTAATTTTCAGGATTTGTATTTCAGTACTGACTCCAGAGAGATTTTTCTTCCAAGCAACACAGCTTTACTTCCCTTTACACACCAGCCTGAGCCCTACATACAGCCTTAGCTCCTAAATAGTGTCTGTCAAGCACTGGGGGGGTTTCAAGCGAGTGCTAAGTGGTCTGTGGACCACATGGACATTTCTTAGGCTCATATGTCTGTGTTAGTTGCAGCAGGCATAGGATACCAGGCATTGCATTCACCAATCATGCAGAGTGTTTGCTGGAGTTTCATGGCAAGCAATGCACGCTGAGAACTGGGAAGAAGTCGAAGATCTAAAACATTTGCAGATAAAAGCCAAATCTCAGCAATGTGTTAATGTTCTTCAAGGTAACAAAGACAGATACTCCCTGCAGCTAAACCAATATATATTTGCATTTTATAGCACACAAGGTAAAAAATAAACAGGTTATGAAGAGCAGTGGGGCTATCACCACTGAAGATTTCAGATCATACTAGAAATTATGAGAATGAACCTACAAATGAGGAGTCCATCCGCTGCAGTGCTCCATGTTGCCATAGTGTAAAATATATAATCTAAAGCTAGGATCTGTGCTATGCCTCATTTGTCAGTACCTTCTCTTTTTTTCATCCTACCTTCTTCCTTCACAAAACACTGCTTCCCACTCCCATTGCCTCCCACCTGTGATGGCTGTGTCAGCTTGGCTCTAAGGACTTCTCTGGACTTTCCTGTGCTTTAAGAACTGGCAGGTTCTGTACCTCATGACACCCATTAAGCTTGTCTGAAGTAGTTGGCTATATTTACCCACCAGGTTGCTGGAAAATAAGACTTGTAGGTCTGTAGGGTAGAAACAATTCTCCCTACCTGAAGAGTAACCAATGTTGTGGAAGACCAGGTGCATTTACCACTTTTCTGATCAGTCCCGAGTCCCAGTCTCCAGGGTGGAGGGCCTTCTCTGGATATACTCCAGTCATAATATCACTGGATATTCACTGAAAAAGGGTCAGGGGACAGCTGGATACTTCTGGTGCTTCTTTCAGAGACAGGGGATTGGGGTTCTCCTCCCTACAACAGTGAAAATCTGGTAGACTAAGACGACATCAGGAAGGAGAAATTAAAATACCCTGAGACTAATTTTAAAATAGAGGTTCAAAACTGAAGTTTTGAAAGGGACTTGACCTGCTGTATTCTGCATCATGAAGAGAAATCCCCAGAGTAAAACTTCTGGGTTTGATTTGAACCGACCATTTGATTTGTTTCAGGGGTTTTCTTGTTCATTTCTTTTGGTTGCATTTTCACAAAACCAAGAAAGCTGATTTCTCTTCGCATTTGATTTGGTCTGAACTGGTTTCTTTTTAATCTTGGCTCATTTTGCTGCTGTATGGAGAACTTGGTTGTATACAAAAGCTTATATGACATGGCCAGTCTTATGACTGCTTGAAGATAAGTGAATTTTTGTATGCAAAGAACACATATATGCAAGGCTCCAGCTCTGAAAATGCAGATCCTATCTATTAATTGACATTCTATCTTGATCCTAGACAAGACATTTATCCCTCTCTTTGGGTGAGTTTTGTCAGTTCTAAAATAGTGATGTATTTCACAAGGCAGTTAAAAAGTTTATTCCTTCATGTTTGTAAAACATGGATGTAAGTTGCTGTATAAATAGAAAATTTAAATATATCTGCCAGCTCATGCAGAAACCTTCGTGCATAAAACTGAGCAATTCCAAACAGATTTTGCTTTGTAGCTACTTTGAGAAATCTGTGATGTTTTTAAATAACATGTGTAGTACTGCTGAGCTCAATTCCAGTTTAAATGGCATATCAGAACATGTGTTTCTTAAAAAAGTTGTGGAAAATTTGTAGTGGCATTAGATTTTAACAGGCTAATCTAACTAGCTGTTGGTACCTCATACTCTTTGTACTTGTAATCATGTGGATTTTGGGGAGAGGGAAACAGGAGTGTTAATATGTAATTAGATCATCAGATTACACTTCCTACTGCTTGCTTGATTTTCTACTGACATGATGTTTTAGACACTGCTGCTGCCTTTTCAGATAACCATTAGCCAGAGAATTCAAAAAGATCCGCCATAAGAACAAGAGACCTAAATGACCCATGAGCTTCAGTGTCTGAAACAGCCAAGTTCTGCAGTTCTCCCATCTTCTGTCTTCTCTGTGGTATCGC